TGTGAACGCTGAAAAGCGGCAAATAAAGTGTTCTGTTCATTCATTCATATAATGATATTTTGTGGCATTTCATTATAAAGTGCAATTGCACTTGAATAGTGAGCAACTGCATATGCAATGCCAACTTTAAAAATGAATTTACCTTGATTCTATCTGCAAAGAAATATTTTTAAAAAGTTTCAAAACTTTGGTGAGAATTGAAGGGACATCAACTGACCTCCTATCAGCTTCAAATGCCAGGATCTTGCACATGATTTCCCCAGTGTCCCCACCCAAGGAGGAGCAAAACTCATGGAAGGCCTCCAAGTAGGACTTGTACAGGGTGTTGCGAATGATCTCAATGTTCATTTCATCCAAGTCTTCTTCAGAGATGCAGTCAGTGAAGTAGTTGGCCAAGGGGGTGTCCACCAAAACTGCATTGTACAACTCAGCTGGATTTGAAGCCACATGGATGGCTTCCATTTGCTCAAAGCTCCCCAATGGATGACACTTGGAGATTAATTCATTGATGGGGCGTTGATGAATTGTGCCAGTCAGCAGCAAGACAATGTTGTCAATCATGTACCTGCAGGGAAAATGGGGTGGAATTTTTAAAGGAATCAAGATTGAAGCAAAGATAAAGCTTAATAAATGTATAGTTTTTGTGTTTGTCTTGGAGCATTGCTGGGGATCATCACAGAGCAAAACAAAGTGCCTTAGCTGTTGAGTATCTCAAGTTTAGAGAATATTTGTTTCTTAAGAACAAGCAATTAACCAAATGTTGAAAAAATGAATGTATATAGGACCTTGCACAGTAAAAAACCCACTTGATTCAAAATTTCAGTTGATCCCTGGCCAATTTCCTGAAGTTCAATTCAATTTCAACCTCTCTCACTCAAAACTCCCCTTTGCTGGATTTTAAAGACCTTCCTTCTGGTAAATTTGAGTCACATTTTAAAACATCTATCCAAAAAATATGCAAATAATTTTCTGTATGTTTCCCCTCAATAAAGAGATTAAAAATCTTCATGCAGTCAGGAAACATGTGAATAACGAAAAGTTTCACTAATTTGACCAGAAAACAATTTCCATTGATTAGACCTGTTGAATGAGGTCAAAATACTGTATTACACTTTTATGGGAAATCAGAATTCATGGGAAACTTGCAGTACTCTTCAATTTCTTGCTGAATTTTCAAAAACATTTCTCAACGAAATAAAAATGTTAGTTGTCCCTTTTCTAAGGGAAGCTAGTCTTTCTCACACTATTTCTAAAAAAAAGTTATCTTCCGGATTTTCGAAGGCGCTGAAATCAAAAATTTGAACTTGAAGAGGAATTTTGGCCCCCAATATTAAGTTGTCCCTTTTCTAAGGGAAGCTAGTCTTTCTCACACTATTTCTAAAAAAAAGTTATCTTCCGGATTTTCGAAGGCGCTGAAATCAAAAATTTGAACTTGAAGAGGAATTTTGGCCCCCAATATTCAAATGTTAGCTCTATGGTAAACACTTGAAAGACGTCGTCGTTATAAAAATGTTAGCTAATTTCAATCCAACAATCAGAAATCTTCAAGATAAAATTTTGGCACTTCGAAATAATTAAACGAAAGGACAAAATTATTTGTCGGAGATCACGCAAAAAACGAAAATTCCACATTTATCATTCCATTTTTCTGCTTAGAAGGATATTCCACATATTTTTTCTTCTCAGCATCATCGGTCTCGTTTCACGAAGCATCTTTTTTAATATTAAAAAAATATATTCTGTATCTTATTTCATTTTGGAAAGATCTTGAAGAAAGAATCCGGTAATCTTGAATATTCATCAGCAGATTTTCGTCTGTTGGTCGAGGGCCCCAAATTTTATTTCGTTGCATCATCGACATCCGAGTAAATCAAGTCCATTAACCGAGACATCCCTTTGCTGCACCCAAAATCGAGAACGAATTAAAATGCTAACCCGTATGTGATGAAATCCAAGAAAGTCGACAGAGGCTCAACAGCCTGATGCCTCATGTGCTGGAACTCAATCACGGCCTTTTCCCGCACCTTTTCGTCGATCGTCGCCACGGTCAATTGGCCGGTTTCATTCGCCAAAAAATTGCCGTAATCCGTGCTCGCCAAGTGCAATTTCAAGTCCTCCAGCGTCTCGCATTGCACCAGGTTCAAATAGTCGTTTTGCGTGAGGATGCCGTTTTTGAAGCCTCGACACAGGCCTTCCAAATACCCGGCGTCGATGTTGAACAAATACTCGGTCATCATCACCATGATTCAATCGGTTTTTTTTTTGTTTGCTGATCTTTTTGGAAATTTTCTTTTTAATCAATATTTAATTTTTGTGTGTGCAAGAAAACAACACGAGAAGTGGACACAAGTGCTCACACTGAGACGTATTTGCGAGACTGAGGCAGGAAATGGTTGGACGGAAAAAACGAGGCCGAGTTGCGTAAAGGACGCTGAATTATGCATGGATTTTTTTTTATCATGTTTATTTCTTTTTTTTGTGGGGTTGGGGGGGGATGCAAATGACAGAGTCACATGCCATGCCTCAGGTGACCAGCACAGCAACTATACACAGAGACTGGGTTCATATCATTCCCTTCTTTCATATACTGTATACACACACAACTTCTCTTAAAGAACCACTAATTTAAATAAAATTTTATTTTGTATTAATTTGTTTACTGTGAAATAAATTTTTTTTATTTTGTGTTTTCTTTATGACTTGCTCGGTTCCATCAATTTTCCAGTGAAGTGGATTATTTTTATTATGATTATCATATATAAGAATGATTATTATTTTTTTTAGAAATTTTTTTTATTGTGAAGTAGAATTGCCAGGAAAATTTTTGTTTCTCCTCTCTTAAACACAACGTTAATTTTTACAGAGAGATTAAAAAATAAAAATATACCTTATTTTTCCCAGGAAAATATTTCTTAATTTTGTGTTTTTTATGACTTTCTGATGGGTTCTATCCGTTTTCTTGTCAAGCAGAATACAGTGAGACCACAATATGCAGATGCCCATAAATAAGGACACAAGTTGAATCCCTGTGAACTTTTATTTTGTTTTTTTAGTCCGGGTTGTATGCCTGTAACCGAGTATAAAGAATTTTGTATTAATTTGAGTATTTTATAGACACAAGTTAACTGAAATAAAGGGGGACAACATTTACATACAGTAATTTTCTCATATGTCTTACAACATAATTCAACCCATGAAATATATGTGTTCAATTGACTTTATTTCCCCCTTAAAATTTATGTAATTTTTGTGACATATTTCACAACATAATTCAACACATAAAATATCTGCATTCAGTTGACTTTATTTCCCTCTGAACATTTGCATAATTTTTGTCACATATTTTACAACAAAATTCAACCCATAAAATGTCTGCATTCAATTGACTTTATTCCCCCCTGAACATTCACATAATTTTGTCATATTTATTACAACATGATTAAACTCATAAAATATCTATGTTCAACTGACTTTTTTCTCCCTGAACATTTACTTAATTTTGTCATATTTCCCACAACATAATTAAACTCATAAAATATCTGTATTCAATTGACTTTTTTCCCCTCTACATTTATATATTTTTTGTGGCATATTTTACAACACAATTCAACCCATAAAATATAAGTATTCAAGTGACTTTATTTCCCCCTGAACATTTACATATTTTTTTCATATATTTTACAACACAATTCAACTCATAAAATATCTGCATTCAATCGAATTATTTCTCATCCCTGAACATTTACATACATTTGTCATATTTCTCACAACATAATTAAACTCATAAAATATCTGTATTCAATTGCCTTTTTTCCCTCAACATTTATATAGTTTTTGTGACATATTTTACAACACAATTCAACCTATAAAATATCTGTATTCAAGTGACTTTATTTCCCCCTGAACATTCACATAATTTTTGTCATATACTTTATAACACAATTCAAACCATAAAATATCTGTATTCAATTGACTTATTTCTCCCTGAACATTTACATAACTTTGTCATATTTCTTTAAACATAATCAAACTTATAAAATAACTGTATTCAAGTGACTTTATTTCCCCCTGAACATTTACATAATTTTTTTCATATATTTTACAACACAATTCAACCCATAAAATATCTGTATTCAATTGACTTTATTTCCCCCTGAACATTTATATAATTTTTGTCTTATTTCATATGCAACATAATTCAAACCATATGTAATGCTTTGACCCGATATCATACAGAAGGCGCCAACTGTATGGCAGGAGTGGTGCTGTGGCATCCAGCAGAAGGCACCACAGTGGAACAAGGCATGACCGGCTCAGCAGCAGGCCGTTCATTGCGCATAAAAAAAAAAAAAGAGTCTTGTGCATCCCGCAAAAAATTTCTGCGTCCCAAGCACGTTTTGGCACTCTTCCAACGCAACACGTCTTCTTTTGCCTGAACGACTTCCAGAACACAAACCTTGAGCTCAAAGGTGAAGAGAAGCTTTTTCTCATCATAGTCTTCATGTTGCTCGGATACACACACCGGGTTTTCATATATTCGCACAGTTTCACATTTTGCCCAAAGAATC